TACACTGAGTCTCATCAATTCTTGCCGAAACCATACAACTAACACAAATACACAACGGCGGTAGCTATGTAAAATGACATCGTAAGCCATTCACAATCGTTTGTATTCTACGCCATTTCACATAGAACACTGTTGATGTACGTTGGTATTAGCTCTAAGTTTCGGCAAGAATCGATGAAATTCTGTGTACTTAAGTAACACAGCAATGTTACATTAATGTCTTTTAACTTTTGTTGTAATAGAATAGTTAGGACAAATTTGAATAAAACTTTTCTTTCTTTCATCCTTCTATTGCACACCAATCAAAAATATTTTTCTATTATGATGAAAATGTTGCTGATTTGTACAAACACTATAGATATTCTTTTTCGTTTAAATTTATTAATATGTGTGGAGATTTATGTATGTACTACATATATGTATTGTTTCCATACTCTTTAATGCTTAATAGTACTTAATTACTTTTATGAATATATTTTTAATACATTGTACGTCATAATAGCATTACAAATTTTCTAACCTCTTCATCAACAAATGTTTATATTTATGTGATTACTACTAATATAAATGAACAATATTATTTGACATTTTTTCTTTAATAATTTACATATATAACAAAAGGATATTTTTAATAATAGACTTAACTATAAGAATGATTTATATTGTACAGTTAACTATGTACAGTTAAGTATTACTATATTTTTACTTATATCATTTGTTGTCTTAATGCTGTAAAGTATTAATTAAATGGAAGTTAATATTGAATCAGTTCAGTTTGATTATTTAAATATATTTTTTCAAAGATTGAATATTTTTTATGTCCATCGGTTTCTAAATTGATTCTCGTATTGATTTTGCCAAAACAATATACATGTGTGTATATAAATTTTTTTTCGAACCAGTACGAGGAAATGGAAACTGAACAATTGGGCATTTAACGTTTTGATAGTTTTAGAATTGTTTAGTAACACATTGTACGCTCATTTCACCTCTTCTCAAACAGTTGAAAAAACCGAAGTTTATTATTTTTCGAGCGATAGTATCGATTCCCCTTGACCTCTAACATACACGTTTATCCCTTTCTACGACCGTTATGAGCAATAATATGTTAATGTCTTTCAAACTGTGAGAGAAAAATCATTTCTGATTTCGTCGTCGTAGGATACACCAGTCTTATTTGTACAGGGGAAAATGAATTCAAACATAAAACGACATTAACAATACGCTCAAACTGTAAGTTTACTATAAACTATAAGTTTATTTTATTATCATACACTCCACCTTTTTGGTTTATATTAAACAAACTCTTAAAATTGTAAACTTCAGTAATAAAATTACAAAAGCACCAATACCTTGAAGTATAATTTTAACAAAGGCATAATACAATGAAAAAAATACAGTACATGTATAAAACTACCTATAACATTAAAAATTTGCATTGATAGGTTGCAGACATTGATTTATGGCATATTAATCAATATATTTTTATACAAATTACTAATATGATTACATTTGATTAAAAATAACGTATTAATATAAAATTTGTTATCAATAAATTATAACAATTTTCTCTGTGAATTGAGATACAGATGTTAATTGATATTGCTGAGATTCACACAAAATACATTTTGGAATCATCTGAATTTGCATCATTATCTTGTTATATTTTTCGACACTTTAATTATAATGATGATTGACAACATAAAACTGTCATTTGCAATTTCAAATAACTTTAGTAACACTTATTTCATAAGTATTTAGCATAACAAATGTAGAGTATTCTTTGAAATGTTAATATGGAGTTAAAAATATAACATTTTTCTCATGTATATTTTGTATAAAAAGTCAATTATAGTACATTATTTATTTTTAATACTATTTGTTCAAAACTTTGTTTATCATATGTCAATATTAAAAGGTAACTTTTTATAATGTTTTGACAAATGAAAGAGATTAAAAGTTATGTAATATTCGGTATTACGTTCACTAAGTAATGAATTAACAATTTTACTAGTTAAACAATGTGCTTAAAAATTTTACTTTTTTTATGATGTTGATGAAACATGTATGATGTAGTTTTCAAAAAAAATTTGACAGTTCTTTTTTATCTTGTCAAATATTTTTTCGAGAACTACATCATACGTGTAAGTTTCATCAAAATCGGTGAGTAACACTTGGGGATATTCCCTTGTTAGACTCTTTCTTTAAGTTTGTTTATTGATCCGAATTGTTTGGCACACGATTTTTCGTAAGTTTAAAGGTAATCTAATTTGCAAAGAATTATCTGAGAGCATAAAATATTTAAATGACAATATGTCTTAAATATGTTTGTAACTTTTCATTGATACAATATTTTAATTGTTATCATAATTGACAATCCTTTTGTATTCAAATATATTTCTCAAAATATCCATTATAAAATTAAGAATGGTTAAACATTGTATATAGCAATGTACACTATTAAAATATATAAAATGTTGGTGTTTAGTTTATAAAATTATTTGAATATTATAAGTGAATCAATGATATCATAAGTGAAAGAATGTTTTGAATCTTTGTTGATTTACATTTCATTCTTTTGTTTGTACTTCTTAATAATTTTCTACTTAACACTTTTTTCAGATAACAGTATAAGAGATGCATTGTTATGTATAAGGGGATCATCTCAAAACATTTGAAAAGAATTCAAAGTCACATATTTCCATTAGTATACAATAATTGCATCTTTCTTTGTTGTGAAATTATTACATAGAACCATTCTTTTGAGCTTGCAGTTTCTTTATTTCAAGAAACAGACCCTTCATATCTTCCAATGCTTTTTCTATTTCTTTTGCAAATCTAGCAGCATTCTAAAAGTAGGTCCAGTTACATAAATATTTCAACTGTTAATAGTTATATAATTAATTACATTATTATAATCTATATGCTTACTGTTTTAGGAGAACTGCGTTTGCATGAAATATGGAAGAACAATAAGTTCTCTCCAGCAAGAATGTAAGAAACACCATATCCATCATCAGCTACAGGGCCAAAGCCACCCCCTGCAGAAATACAATTTGGGTGTTTCTTCAAATTTATTAATGAACACAAACATTACCTTCAAAAAAGGAGAGTCCACTTCTAAATATTTGGATACTACATATAAACAAAATAGATGTCTATCTATTCCTTTACCACACATAGCATCTTGGTAACCTTTTTGATGTTGTTTTGCTGCTGTTACCAACAATTTATATTTGAAATCTATCTGCAACCAAAGTAAATATAGCATGAATTATGGAATATCAAAATAAGCAAACTAAGTTAATTAAAACAATGTCCTTTTTAGAGTAATAGAGTAAAAAAGAAAGTTTAAAATATAAAAAGAGTTTATTAAGTTAAATGAAATTTTTAGTTCTATTAAATTTTATGGTACAACTTACAGTTGCATCCTGATTCTCCATTGCTTTTACCCACTCTGTAGATTCAATTGTACATGGTCTCACTGTTTCTGTTCTTCCTTCTCGGAACAGTCTAGTCATGGAAGCTTCGTAAGTTAAATTAAATTTACCAGAATCACGGTAATATGCCAACTGAAGGGCCATTTGTACGTATGCATCCGGCGACATAGAATTGACTTTCATAAAACCTTTACCGTATGCATCATGTACATAAATGCGCAATTCAACATCATTTAGTAAATGCCATGCAACCTAATTAAAAATTCATTGCAAGTAACCATTTTTATATTTCATATGACAAAAATAATTTTTCATCAAATATTTTAATAAGTTTAAACGTATTTTTTATATTATATTATTAGGTCGTTGCACATGAAATAGAAGTTTTATTTTTATGAACTAGAATCATATAGATTGTTATATGAAAAAATAAAACGTTCAGTCTACTCTTTGAAATGCAAGAATCATTTCCCTGATAAAGTTAGATTAAGGTTATATTAGAAGTTGAAAATGGATTCTAATCAAATTTGAGAGATTTTCTTTTATGAATCAAAACTGGGACTTAGTGTAGCTGGAAAAATGCGTTTGAGGAATCTATTGCAAAATTCACTTGTCATTCAGTGGCAGAAATGTGTTGAATCTGTTGGAACTTATTTTGATTAATGAAATTTAATTTGACTATGTTATTGAGGCTTAAAATTTCATTTATAAATCCACCATTTCATATGCAATGACCTTATCACTATCACAGTCTATCAAATATAAATTAATAGTTCAACCAATCGTTTATGAATAATTTTGAATTGTAGTAAATAAATCTACATGTTTAATAGACAATGTTTTTAATTTAGTGATTATTACTTGATATGATTCTTCAATAGTATCTATGCAGTTAGAATTTAAATCCCACTGAAGTCTAGTAGGAGTTGGAGGTGTGAACTCTGGGTCTCCTTTATTAGATCCATCTTCTTTATATCTATAATGCATATTAAAGAATTTTTTAAAATATATTACATGATAAAAAATAACAAAATTTGGTTATAAATGTATAATCACAAATATAGGTACACAATGCTTGTATAAGAAATTAGTATATAATATTTTGTTGAATTCAATATAAATATTGTAATAAAAATACTTTAATTTATTTTAAATGAATCGTTAATCCATCAAGATCTATTTGCACATATCAGTGACGCATCTGCTCTGTTCCGTAAAGTTTTGTCGGTTTTAGTGAAGTAACGAAACTTTACGGTACTGGGCGAATACGTCACTAATGTGTATGAATATATTTTTATAAATTTCCAATTGTTTGCAAACAAAAGGAATGTATTTAGAAAACAATATGAATTACAGACACTTCAGTGTTTCAAATATTGTCGTGTAAATGCATACATAAGAAATTAAATCTTTTTAAACCATTCAACTTTTTCTCTATTACTTTTTATTTTTATATGTTGATCATACTAATTACTTAACTCATCATGTGTAATATGTGAATTTGAAATTAAATAAGAGTATTTATTATATACAAGTTAGTTTTAAATAAAAGAATGCAGTAAAAGAAAGTTGTGTATAATTTAAAAGAAGGAAAATATAAGAAAAAAATTACCCCATTTCCACCTCATTAGCGATAAGAAATTCCCATAGAGATCCCATAATAGGAGCATCAGCCCTAACAAGCACATTGTAAACATAATTACTTAAGCTATTATGTTTAAAAGAAATGTTAAAATTCTAAAAATTAACAAAAGTACCAATAATAGAAATATAGATAAAACAAAGAGATGGTAAAATTTGTATAGACCTTCAAAAATATACTGCGTATCCCGTGTAAGTGACGCTAAGAAATTTCGGGACCATCTTTGAACTTTACAAAAAATTGTTTTAAATAGAAATTGTATTTAAGTGTGCATGTTTATGCCAGCTATATAAAATGCAAGGTATTAGAAAGTAATTTGTTGTACATATAAATTTAAATACTGAAAACATGAGAACTGAGACATATCTGCATATAACATAAAAACTGAAAATATAAGAACATATTTATAAAGACTATGTTTAAGAAATACAAATCAATCAAGAAGAAGGTAGTAAGAACAATAAAAGAAACATTTTTGTTTAATAAACATACAAGATGTTCAACAAATCGAAGAAATTTTAAGGGATAACTTTACATGATAGAATAAATAGAAAATCAAAAATAATAAAACACATCAAAAACTTTAAATAAGCAATTTTTGTTTTTATGTCAACATTATCTTGTTAAGTAAAAAATGGTATTATTACCATCTTTGTCCTAGTACGTGTGGTATTCTGGATTCAATAATCTCGGCTTTATAGTACACAGTGTATTGCTATCAATGGTTATTGATGTTTATTAAATTTTAATCATGATTTTATAGCAAGAACAATCATTTAACCCTTTCGCTGCGGCGAAGTCAAATGCAGAGCGCGCGTGGCAGACGGAAGACATTCAGCCGTGATTGACACTACAGGCAGTGAAATTTTGCTGTCACGCATCGCGTGTCATTCTGTAGAAAATATATAGAAATTGTCCAAACACCAAATTGAAAGAACGAAAGAATTACGTTTTAATAAGGTGTAATAATTATAAAACTAATCTATGTCAGACTTCTTTACAAGTGAAGAAGCGCCTGATCCGATTTTGTCTCTTTACGCACAGTGTATAAAGTAAGTGCTTTCTTTCTATGTGTGTATGACTCATACAATCCAATGTGAAAAGTTAATAAATTTATTTTGTTATCTTTATAGTTATGTTTACTAAACGAAAGTTTCTTTTATTTTCTGTTGCTACTTTCTACTTAATTTAACTTATATTTTTATTTTTTTTTATGCAAAACTTGAATATATTCTTTGCAGCTTTGAAGATTTCTCCATCTTTAAATAATAGTTAATGTGTTGTAATCAACTTTTGAAGAAGAGTCAGAATAGGCAGGAGAAGCAGAAGAATAGCGAAGAAAAAAACGCAATACCATGAAAGTTATGAATTTAAATTCTTACTTTCTATTGCTGTTTTCCTGAGATATCACGTACTCCCATAAATGTGACATCACTGCAGCATCTGCCCTGCTCATTACTTCTCATTATGTATCGATTTCATTATATTGCAATTTTATAATATTTAAATTTACTTATTAATACGTAATTACATTTAAGGAAATGCAATAATGATACTTCTATTTATTTTTTATCGTAGTAGTAACAGAGAAATGCCATTCTCTTTTTCTTAATATAGCATTTGTATACAAGAAAATATTAAAAAAAAGAATATAGTAGAGATGTTTCACATGTTTGTCTTAAAAGATTAGTTTATGTTAATAGAAGAATTATGCTTTCCAGATATATAAAACATTATATAGTAATACAAATAATTAATTGCAAAACATCCCTTTTTCAACCATCTTCTTGTCTTATGTATTATCCTTTTATATAATTTAACTTCATTATTTATTTTTAATACTTTTAAATAAAAACTTACCACGAGTGTTCTGCATTGAAGCCGGTCTGTAGAAGAGAATAATATTTAAGAATCATATTATAAGTTATACACTATTATATGAAAACAGTATTTTTATATAATATCACTTACCCTACCATTGCTACCTATACACAAGGTAAAAGATTTATCAAACCATCTATCATATCCTTTACCATGTAGTAAAATTCGACCATATTGGTCCAATTTGTCTGGGTTTGCCTGATAATACATAAAATATTATGAATATAATAAAAATTTATAAATGAAACATCATAATTTGAATATCACTTACTGGATCGTATATATAAGGTTCATCATCTAGTGCAACAATAAATGCTGCTTTTTCAATAAGATCTAAAGATGCTTTATTCACACCTTTTGTGAAAAATTCTTCTCTAGCTTTTGCCCAAACAGGTCTTTCACCAGCTGTTAATGAGGCTAATTTTTCTTCACCCTCTGATGGTTCTGATTTATCATTTAGAATTTGTTGCATTTGTCTGAAAATATATGATTTATTACATAATTAGAAATATATTTTGCTAAAAAATAATTACAAAAACCCTTTATTTCTTTGTATACTGCTTCTCTTATATTTACACATTATTCAATTAAGACTTTATTAAATGAGAACAGAAAGCAGTCTTATAAACGTTTAATATTTAATCTAGTTGTATCTTATAATTATTCAATAAATATTTACATATACAGAACATATGGTATGACATAATAATTTAATAAAGAATACAACTTGCGAAATTTTTACTACAAGCGAAACATATAATACTATATTTGACTTACATTTCAATTTCACAAGGTTGAAGAATTCTATTTTTGTGATAAATAAGAACTTTAAAGTATCGTCCCTTGTGATATACAACAATATGTTTAGAATCCTGATAATGTACAATTTTGTCTGTTTCACGTCCTGGTATTCTTGTAGTATTAAACATTCTTTCATATTGCCATGAACATAGAGGTACCAATCCTTGAATCAATATCTAAAACAGTTCATAATTATTATTGTCAAGTTGTATTTAAAATATTGTTTTTAATAGTTTGTAGCTAATCTTCAATTATCAATGCTAACTTTTATGATGATTTGGGAAGACAATGTACGCGTTTTAACATTTTATGCCCAATTTTGTTGCCATATTAAAACACTAATTTTTTTATTATAAAAGGTTGTAAATAAAAATAAAAATTACATGTAATTAATTAAAAAAATAATTTAGCAAAAGAATATTGAATTAAGTTAGAGA